CCGACAGACTTGTCTGTCTGTAGTTATGGAGTGGTTGTTCGGTGAGGCATGTGTATTTATTACAGCTGGAAGAAGAAGAATGGCAGGAATAAATAGAGGGAGGGTTTCAAGCAGGGGCCGGGCGGCAGAGGGAGGGGAGGATGTTGTTCTAAGTGCTCTGGCTTTATCAGTGAGCCGGCAGAAACCCAACCAAAGAAGCTCTAATGCTCCCAAAATTACAGCACACTTTTATCTTTCTCCTCAGATCAGGGCTGGAGTTAGTGAATGTGGTGTTTTTAAGACAGACTTCTCCACCCATACTGTACAGTGTGTGTATGTGTGTGTGTGTGTGTGTGTGTGTTTGTCTGAGGAAGTCTCTCATTTCCCTCTTAGACCTATCTGCAGTTTTTAGAGAAAATAATTATTGTTTGTTCTTGTTGTATTGATTGGGAAGTGTGTGGGTATGCATGTCAGTACAGAACCAGAAATAACATGGCACTATGTTAACCTAATGGCATTGAAAACACAGTTTGACAGTTTAATAGAGATCAATATTATGTCTGGTAATGGAACATTGGAAACCTATGAATCAGACAAAAAAGCTCCCATTATTTTTATCATTTACATCAATGATTACATCATTACACCTTCATTTATTGACGTCAACGTTGATTTCAGTTCATGTTTTTCCAGTTTGTGAACATTTGCAACACATTTTTTTACTTTTTAATAATTTGTTGATATTATATTAATAGCATCTGCAAGCACTTATTCAGTTCCACCTCGCTGACAGTTTGATAGATACAGAGCAGTGAGAGCAGGGTTTTTTTGTAATGATGGCTTACCAATCCATTACTTAGGAGCAGGAACGTGAATGAATGAAGTGAAATAGATGCTGTGACATCACTGACTGAGCTGCAACACCGCAAAGCACTAATGTTCTTCACACAGATACGGTACTCAAAAATGGGATGTTTATTTAACTTCATTTCTCTGTGCCTCCTGAAACCATTACAAATCGCTATGGAAAAATAAATCTGTTTTGGGACGTGGCAACATTATAGTTAAGGTTTGGTTTTCATGAAAGTAAGTACTTCATTAAGGTTAAAGGGACCTTTGTTACCAGTAGGTTAGCCTTGCTTTGCTTTAAACCTTCAACCTTAAAACATTCAAATTTCTGTGAAACCTTGACTGTTCATAGAATACACATTTTCCTCAGTTCCAATTTCACAAGAGGCCATGTTAACATTTTCCCATGAACTGTCCTCACATGTATGTTATTTATAATTCAGCTGGACCTTTGCTTGTACGAATGTGTTTCAAACTGGTTCGATCCACTCAGCAGCTCTGTGCGACTGCCGTGCCCTCTAGCATCTTTTTGTCTGGTTATGAAACGACCATTTCTTCATCCTGTACTGATGAAGTCCTCCCCTGGGGTGCTGTGATGAATAAGATCACCAGTGGCAGAGGAAGTATTTAGATCCTTTTCAAGTAAAAGCACTAATACCTCACTGTATAATACTCCAGTTCAAGTTCAGTTAACATTGTAAAAAGTAAGTATAATCAGGAAAATACCCTTAAAGTGTTAAAAGCACAAATGTCCCCTGTGACTGTTTTAGTATTTTTCTTTATACATAAAAACAAATTATAATTATTAAAACAGTTGAAAGGAAAAGCAGCAAATTCCCACGTTTGTGAAGCTGGAACACATTTATAATACAGCTTTGATCATTGTAGTTACCAAATGTCTTTATACAGTACTAGCGAGCAAACTCTACAGAGATAACTGTCCTTTAAGACTGACAGAATTGCCTTAAATTGGGCAAATATATCAGTCTCTCCAAAAACTCTGCAAAAATATCAAAAAACACCACAATATGACTCAACACTAAACACCACATGAAACATAATTATAACAAACCTTGTGCCTTTATCAGCTGGCTATTTTCTGACGTTAGGCAGACACACTTGTGCAATGCGGACACACTGGACAATACTGTCCAGACTTTTTTCCTTTTATGGCAAAACTCCTTCAAAATACATACATACCCCTAACGCAAATCATTTGTATGTTTTTATTTGAGCCTGGTAAACGGCCATGTCTTTTTAACTGATGCCCACAGTCTTCGTCATTAATCTTCATCATCAAGGGTTATTTTTTCAGATTGTAGAAGCCTCCACCAGAGCAACAGAGAATATTGTTATTTACTGTTTTAATACTGTAGTATTACTTCCCATGACACCAAAACTGACTTTGATGTGTAAAATAGCTTGAGTTTCTTGAGCTCTTTAACGTTCCAAGATTAAAGTTCCACATGATTGGGGCGTCCGGTTAGCTCAGTGGGTAGAGCTGGTTCCCCATGTACCGAGGCTGAGTCCTTGCTACAGCGGCCCAGGCTTCGAATCCGAACTGTGGCCCTTTGCTGCGTGTCATCCCCTCTGTCTGCCCCCCTTTCCTGTCTATCTTTGGCTGTCCCTATCAAATAAATAAAATAAAAAGGCCAAAAAAATAACTTAACATTTTTTATTTATTTTATTGATTGTGAGTTTAAATACAGGCATAATATCTCTATTATTTAGTGCTAAGTAGCCTTTAAGCTAACATTCAGATTTCCCTAAAACTCTTACTGTTGATACTGATCTTTTACACTGAATTTTACCACTGGCCATGTTACCATTTTCCCATGGCCTATCTTCACATGTATGTTATTTATTACCTGTCTTTGTAAGAATACATTTCAAACTGGTTCGATCCCCTCAGCAGTAACTCAGTAAGTGACTATTTCTTTACCCTTCACCCACTAACAATAAACAGGTGTTGTATTTGGAAAATTTACATGAGTTGGATGTAACTCCACCAGAACACAATGTACTCACTATCAGGGCCGATCTAAAACTGTCTAAAGCCGTGGTTCTTCACTGGTCTAACCTTGGGACCCACATTTTCCCATGGTCATTGTGTCACGACCCACTTTTATAGACTCAAACCAAGGTAGCTAATTTATTTTCGAAAGGCTAGTAAACATATACACTGTCATCATGACCCTTTTTAAAGATAAAATATACACATATTTCCATTCCTGCATTCAGGGAGGGTGCTGTTAGAGCTTTGCATACTTCTACACACATCGCCAAGACTCCCATTACAAACATAAACATAAATATAAACATATTTTCATCCCTGCAATCAGAATACTTACTTATAAGTAGTATGAACATTAGGAATAAAGTTAACATCATAACTGCACACACACTCAAAATAAGTAAGGCCTACAAAATCCTTTTACTTTTACTTACATTTTTTTGACCACACACTCTGGGACCCTTTCAGACCCAGCATGATCTAAAGGATATTCATAAGCATTTGAAGTAGCATCTAACCTTCCCTTTCATGACAATAAGTCCTCTATAAAACATATTTGGTTTGGTAGTTTTAATAATTTACATTATAATCTTTTGGGTCAAATGCTGGATGCTCTGAACCTTTGACCTGTTTTAGCTGAGTATTTTAACGTTCCTCGACACTGCAAACGGAGCGCTTGAGGAAAGGTTTGTTGATTATTGATGATTTTCATAACCATGCTGAGAGCAGATTGAAGAAATCTGCCATGAGTGCTGCTTCATCAGGCAGGATAAATATTAAACAGGCACCAAAACATGGAAAGTGCATACACTGTCATGATTTCAACACGAGCTTCTCTACCGCCTCCCCCCCTTCTCCTCACTTTCTGACATAATGTATTTGGTGTGTTGGTGTCATTTCACTGCTGAATAATTAGCTTACTGCATCTCTCTGCCTCTTTCTGCTGCTGCTGCTGCTATGTCTCCCTGTTCCCCCCTTTTTCCTCCCAGTATAATAGCTGGATAAGCCAGACTGGGCTAAAAAAAGGAAATAATTGTTCTGGATGACAATGCAGTATATTATGGCAGCCAGGCACAGCTCCCTCCCTCTATGCGATGTCGAGGGAAATGGCTCTGAATGGTTTCAAAAGGGTTTTAACAGTATTAGATGGCCTACAGTCAGAAATGTGCAAAGTGCAGATGCTTCTTTTTTTTTTTCTTATCACCAAAACGTGAAAACACTGAAGGTGTTGAGAGAGCGGCTTCCCTACTCCGTAACCTGTGTGTGCATGGCTGTGTGTGATCATAGAGTTTGTGCAAAATGATGCCTTTGTCACTGATGTCCGCTCAGGTATCCCTCCGGTGTTTGGAGTCGTCCTCATTGGGATTCAATCTGCGCTCCAGTCTGACTGTATAGCTGGCATGGCGTCAGCAGCCACATCCCATGGGATCCCTTCTCCAGACCCTGACTCACACTACCTCTGCCACACCGTGCTGCTACACTAATACACAGCAAAAAGCTCTCTTCCTGCATTTGCTCTGGTCAAATAGCTTCTGCTGTTCTCGACAAGCCGCCCCAGTCAATAAATTGTCAAATCAGCCACAAATTCAAGGCTGAGTGTCTGGCATCTTTTCATTCGGTTACATAAAAGCTGCTCCAGCGGGCTGCATGTTAAGAGAATCAAACACGTTTCTGTGCCCACACTGATGTTCATTTCACTGTAAAATCGGTGACATCTAATCACACAGCGGCTCTGCTAATTTAACATTTACAGCTGCTGGACCTGTCAGTGCAATCATGACTTTGAAATAACTTAAAATGGTGTACGTGGGTGTCGGGTAGGATCAAGTCTGTAAAAGTGTGCTCAGTGTGTGGAAGCTCTCCTTGAGCAAGAGATGGTGATTTTGCTGCTGTTCCATAATTTACATAGCCTGCAGAGGGCAAAAGAGCAGAGACAGTATTTAATTCCTACCCTGACCACATTTGTGTGTGTGTGTTCATGGGATGTGTTTGTATGTGCTGAGATTTAGTATAGTAAAGTGATTTTCTAGCAAAATCAGAAGAGGTACAGAATGTACAATTAGTAATATGCTCAGGACACATGCACATGCAGAGGTTATGGACAGGTCAAAAGTAATGGAAGTGCTCAGGATGAAGACATTAATGGAAAGTGAAAGGCACAGCAAGTCTCCTCCTGTTAACACTAATAATTTATCACAAAGACACTTATGAATCGACCTTACATGCATCTTACCTGAAACTTTGGTTCACAATGTCTCCATATTAACATTTCTTTGACCATTAAAAGTTTGGTGAGAATATTAGTCTAGTAAAAAAGTTTTAAGGCGTCATTTTGTCTGATATGAAGTAATTTTTCTTGAAACTAATGAAAAATTCTGGCAGTTATGTGACATAATTTGCACTTGATTTTCATGGAGCAAGAATCAATATCTTTACCCGGCCGGATGAGGCTAGTAATTGCACCAAGATATTAGAAAATCCTTGAAAAAAACTAAACTGCCTTGTGAGGAAAAACTGCAGCCAGATTTGTGTCTTTTTTTTACACGACTGATCTGTTTGGATGGATTTTTGTTGTTGTGCACACCCTCCTAACTATACGACAAAGTGAGAGTGAGGAAGAGGCTGTAGAGGACGAGGAGGTGTGTGAGGGAGGTCTGGTCAGAGTCAAAGAGGGAGAAGAGATTTTGTGTGTGTGTGTGTGTGTGTGTGTGTTGACAGCTTTTAAATGCTGACTTTGACAGTGCGAGAGCAGAAGTGATGCTGTAGCACATTCTCTGGGCTCAGACTGTCTGTCTGCCAATCGGTGTGCCTGTGTGTCTGTTCATCTGTTTGTGTGTGTGTGTGTGTTATGTTGCACCTCTATCCTTATGAGGACTGAATGTCCTCACTAGGACACACAATTTGGGAGAATGATCCTAAAGCAAGCACTTTGACAAGTTTTGGGTTACACTGGCCTATAATAAATATTCTAACATATTTAAAACTCATCCATGCCCCTCTGGAAGCTCTTTCTGTGGACCTTCATGCTAACACTGTAGCATCCACTGTAGCATCTACTGGCATTATTCAGAGTACATGACGTTTGTGTGTGTTATGATGTGTGTGTGAGCATCCTACTGAATATGCAAACAGGGTTGTACTGCAAATCAGTGTGTTTCTATTCAACTCCAGCAAACTCACTAAAGCTGAAACTGTATAAACCAATAACTCTCTCTCAGTTCAATTCAATCCACTTTATTCTCTCTCTCTCTCTCTCTCTCTCTCTCTCTCTCTCTCCCTCCCTCCCTCTAGAATACACAGGACCACTTGACGTTCTTGATAACGGTTCCCGCAGCTCTCTTCCTCTTCCTGTCCATCTTCATCCTCGTCTGCATTGAGTCGGTCTTCAAGCGGATGCTCCGCCTCTTCTCTCTCCTCATATGGGCCTGTCTGGTCACCATGGGTTACCTGTTCATGTTCTCAGGAGGGATCCTCAGCCCCTGGGACCAGGTATATATATATATATCTGTTTAATGTGTGTAAGGTAATGCTTATGTCTAAAAGAACATGCTGCATCCCCGGGCCAGCTTACCTACTGTATATACTACAGCATGTCTGGTTGCACGTGTGGGTGTGCAATCAATTTGATTTGAATGTTTGCTAAGCTCCACCCCCCGTAGTTACTGTTGCCACGTCTTTAGCTAAAAGCGGCTGTTCCTAAAGTACAGGAAAAAACAATTCCTATAGTCAGGTGATTATATGCTAATGAAAACATACCTATTATATTCCATTTCTGCCAATAGATGAACTAGAACTTTAAATATTAACCTGATGGCTACAAACATGATATCATGATATCATAAAAGGCTTAGGGTGAACCTGCATGACCCAGGTGAAACGATGATCCAGATTGAAGAGATAGAAATAAAGAAACAGCATTGTACATTGTGCAGTGTAGAACTGATAATGAGAAATGTAGATCAGAGTAAATCAGAGTTATTTTGTAATAACATAACCCTGCAAAATAGAAGTGAGACTTGTACGTATTTGTTTCTTTTTTCAAATAGAATGTTTCACTGAGTTTGGCTGGGGTTACGTATGAAGGTCCCCATATCCAAGAAACCGCAGGGCAGAGCAGGGCTTTTGTAGCTTGGGTTAGGTTACTGCTGTGGTAAGATAGTTAGCTGGACATGCTAATTTGCATCTTCCATTACTGTGGGCAAACACACTGTTCAATCCGTGTCTTAAATTTTAGTTCTTGTATTTTGGCTTTCGGAGACAGCAAAAAATAAGTCACTATCTAAACTCTCTGGGTATGGATTATAGCTTTTACTACAGCTCCCTAGACATCTTTTCAAACGGTGGTAAAACAACAATTTACCTATCGAAATACATCCAAGGGAAAATAACCAAATCAACAAAATGACTGTTCCTGCAAAGAAAATACACAAAAAATTCACAGCAGTATTAATTTACATTCCCATTAAGTTAAGGGGGACTTTTGATGCATGTATTCATGAGCGTTCCTGTGATTGCATACAGGTGTAGGGGAGGTTTTTTCAGACATCGATCCGTCAGTTTGTTTGTGCCTTTGTATTGTGTGCGAGTGCATACGTCAGACACGAGCGCTGAATTAATTCCACGTGTGACAAGTGTTAATGAGGCCTGATGAGAGCTGGAGGTGAGCAGATCAGCAGGCAGACACATTAGTTTTCCTTCTCTCTCTGTTTCAAGAATCCTATTTTCTCATGTTAGCGCCCTGTCTCCCCCTATTCATCAAATCCCATTTTTCTCTCCCCAGCTTCTCCACCTGCCTCCTCCTCTCCTGTAAAGACCGCCCCCACCCTCCCCACCACCCCCACCATACCCAAATTTCCTCTCTCCCCTCTTGCTACCCTACTTTTACTTCCTTCCCGTCCCTTCCCCCTGAAGGTTGGAAGGAATATTTTTTTATCATCAAAGCCACCTGTGGAGAAGCATATCATTCTGCCATATTAATCACTCTATTCCTGCTTCCCAATGGACTTCTCTCCACTTAAGTCCTTATCTATCTATCTATTCTATCTATTCTATCTAATCTATTCCTATCTAGTCTATCTATCTATTATTCTTAATTCTATCTATCTATCATCTATTTATCTATCTATCCTATTTCCTATCTTATTCTCTTCCTGCAACCTTTTGATTTATGAGAGAAAGAAAGCAAAGAACAAATAAAGACTGAAAGGCGAGGAAAATGAAAAGAACGAAACGAAACCTTGTGGGGAAGCAAGAAATCGGTGAAAAAGAGAACCGCTGGAATTGCAGCCCGGCCTTCCAGTGGGTTGGAATTGATTGTGAAATTACTGGAGAGGACAGCACGTCTGATGGAGCCACACAAGAGCAATAACAGCAAAAGGCCTGAAAAGAGAGACCGGGGAGAACAGAAGGTACATGAGAAAAGTGGCGCTCCCTGCTCCGGCATTCACTTCAGCCTTCCACCCGCCCCACACGCTCGCCCCTGCTCACCCTCTTTTTCTACACAACCACACACACAAACAAAGATTGGTTCTACCCGTTCACAGTACAAGCGTGTTCCTGCCACCATCCAGCTGCATTACTGTTAGTCTGGTCCTTTATTCAATTTCTCTGAAGGCCAACAAGCTCTTTCCCAGAAAGGCAGAAATGAAACAATGGGCTGCCAACCAAGCCTGGTACAACGGAATCAAGACTCAGCCCACGACACACTTGACTGTTGTGTGGTTGTCCAAATGTGCGTGTTTGTGCACAAAAAAAAACAAGGTGGCCCGCCCTGCAATCCGTAAATTGCTGCCCCGAGCTGCTTACCGCTCATACAAATGCTTTAAAGTTTGAGCATCGAGGGAAAAAAAACATTTGTGAATGTTTGGGTTTAAAGCGTGCATATCTTGTGGCTTCTGTGTGTGTTTTGAGGCAAGGTGAATTGAGCCGTGTGCTGCTTTTTTTTGTTCCTGAACAACAGAAGAGGGCTTGTGTTCTCCCCGGAACAAAGAAAAGCGAGGGGGGGAAAAAAAGTCCATCCAAGGAGCCCGAAGTGAGAAGGAAATGGGAAAGCCCAGCTTCCCATCTGTTTTTTTTTTTTAGGTGTTTGGAGGGTTTGTATTTAGGATTCAGACCCTTGGAGGTTGCTGTGGAAAGTGTGGTTGTGTCCCCTGCTGCCTGTGGTGGCACAGAACAAGAAGCAGGTGAAGCCACCCTGAAAATTGAAACTGCCAAATTCTCGATTTTTTCCCACAGCCCCACCCAAGACAGAACCGGACGTTCCAACAAACCTCTTGACTGCCCTCTGCCCTGACGTTTTTTTTTTTTTTTTTTTCCAGAGGGGGGAGTTCAGTATTAGGAGTTGGAAGGTTATGGCAAAATATACAAGACCTTCCAAAACACCACATCTGCTCTGACATCAGCACCCTTCCCTATGTTGGTTCCCCTAGCAACAGCAAGTCTAAGCTTACCCAAAACACCTCTCTCTCTCTCTCTTTGTTCAGGTCTTCTTTTAGAAGGAACTCGGTCAACCAGACAATCACTTATATCCGATGTTCTAGTCATGGTTTTGCCTGACAACACACTACATGTCAGTGGTATGAGTCATGATATCTTTGTAACGCATCACCAAGTAGCCTGTCTCTGCAAATAATATTTATGATACTGATGTCATAAACACTGTAAGTAGCATGCGAAGAGCTCTACCCTGCTGGACTTGTGTAAGACAAAAGTATTTCACATTTTATATGCATAATAACATGACACATGGGGATCCAGGTCCCAGCAAGTTTGTTTTCAGCAAATTTGAGTTACTCCCAGCTGTCACTCAGTAGAATCCTGTTTGCACGCAGAGTCTCTGAACCTGAAAGACACAGGAAATAAACAGACAGGCAGGAAGGTCACAGTTCATCTGGTGTCCCAGTTAAAACGGTGACCTGTTCGCGCTGGTCGCCACCATAACAGGAAGATGTGGACTGACAGCAGGGGGAAGTGGACAGGGACGAAGGAGGAGGTTAAGGCACAAGTCATCAATGAGCAACACAGTAGGAAAGACAAATCTAGCACACACAGGAACACACACACAGAGCAGATGGGAGGTCAGTGTAAGTGGCTTTGATGGAAACCTGGAAAGAGAGTGGACTGATTACAGTAAATAAGCAGGAAACTCCTGAATATTTTCTACTGAAGCACTACGCTGTCTTACTGAAATTAAATATGTGAGCAGTCATTATAGGGAGGCAATTTATCTCGGGATTTAGTTTTTGTAATGTTGAGTGAGCAGCCCACTCATCTCTTATAATTTATCAGAGGATCAGCAGTTTATTGTTGGATGTTTTTGTGAAAAAGAGTGGGCAGCCCACTTAACTCATGTAACTCTATTCTGTATTTGGACAAAAAGCAGACAAAGGGAAGATGCAGAACATAAATCTCTGGTGAGTTTTGATGGCAGGCCTTTTTCGTGATCTATATTTGGGCATTGCTGTGGTCATTCTTGGCATCACTGCAGCACTTACATGACCGTGCAGCCCAGAATTGCATGACCTGTGCTGCTGAATATTTCTCTCAAACAGCAGCTAAATTATATATTGCTCCCGGTTTACTTCGATGTATAGACTGAGGGAACGCTACAAAGTTGAAAGAAAGTCAGAACTTGTTTCAAAACACCAAGAGATCTGGATCTGCCACTTTACCTATCGACATTTTACCGTTCCTTGTTTCCAGGTGTCCTTCTTCCTCTTCATCGTGTTTGTTGTCTACACCATGCTGCCCTTCTCCATGAGAGGGGCCATTATCGCCAGCGCCGTCACCTGCTTCTCGCACACCGTCACCCTCAGCGTCTGTCTGGCCTCCAAAGTCACAGAACTGGAGCCTCTGGTGTGGCAGGTAAGACAACTCTCAATCTTTTGAACGCACAGCTCATAGCGGGACTGTTTACATAACTTCCTGCTTCTGTGACAGTTGTGGTCGAGAGGACTCTGCTGTGAGCTTCCCATTTTGGTTTTTCTGAAGGCCTAAATGATCGCTTCACTCACTGCACTATTAGCTGCAGCACACGGGTTAGCTTCTCAAAGGCGAAATTGGTAAGGCTGTTGCATGCACAATTTAAAATGACGAGGTACAACGTTTTAATAAGGGCCGCGCTGTTAAACAGTGAACCCATCCTGTATCATTGCAACACAGCACATTCAGCAAGGCCTCCAGAGACAAATAAACTGCCTTTAATGTACTCAGCCCTTAAAACGCTGGTTCTTAATGAATGTAGAGAAACTTCATCTTGCTTCTATTAATACACCAAACAACAAACACCACAGACCAATAAGATAAGTGTGGCATCTGTAAATTTCAACAAAGATACAGAAACATGCCAGATAACACTGGCACTTAATGGAATTGATTTTCTCATCACTTGTATGACTTAGGCTGACACACACACACACACACACACACACACACACTGACTCTTTTTAATCAACCAACAAAGTAAACACCCTGATAACACTCAAACAACAACAGTCTCTCTTCTCTCCCTCTCACACACACAGACAGTGGAAAAGCACACCAACAATAAAACATGCTCAAAGACGTTCATTGCCCTTGGATACAGCACCAAGGACAACCTAATGATATGCGAGGCCGCAATTTAAAGAGCTTAAGGTTGACATAGTGGTGTAAAAGCGCAATCGAAGTGTGTGCTCTGGCCCGCTTTTACGAGGTAATAATGTCGGTTTAAGTAGAAGGAGGTAGATAGCGGGGGAATTACAGGCGTATCTGGAACATGCGTCATCTCCTGACATTATTTTAATGCCTTATTCTTTGTGTGTATGCATGTGGTGTACGTGGCAGATCTTAGCCAATGTGATCATCTTCACCTGTGGGAACCTGGCCGGGGCATACCACAAGCACCTGATGGACCTGGCGCTCAAACAGACCTACCAAGACACCTGCAACTGCATCAAGTCCCCCATCAAACTAGAGTTTGAGAAGCACCAACAGGTACACACGCAAAGATGAATAGCGGCCCAGGGTTCGAATCTAACCTGCGGCCCTTTGCTGCGTGTTATCCCCTCTCTCTCTGCCCCCGCCCCCCTCTTTTCTGTCTATCTTCAGCTGTCACTATCAAGTAAAGGCAATAAAAGCTCCCAAAAAAATACTTGACCTGTTAAAAAATAATAAACTCTCAATGTCAGTTCCTGCCTCACTGGATGCAGGTGACACATCAGCTATACCTTTTACTGTTTCATTTAACAATTTATCTATACCTCACATGGGCTGTGACAGGATTTTACCACATTCAGCATATTTGGCTCAGCCTCACTGCCTGCCATTATCAATCTATATTTAATGTATTCAGGCTGGTATTTCCTCACCACGGGCTTGGAAGCTTTTACTGGCAAAGGGTTGTCTCCCACATTACTTGACTGAACTGATCCATTTTGTGTAACTGCAACTGAGGGAGTGTTAGCTGGAAAAACATGTTTGTCTCTACCTGATGATGGGTAAATAAATGTTCATTGAAAATGTGCATTTTAATTTGATGATTTTAATTTTTTGTGAATTCCTGGGGGTAGTGTAGTATACAACTACTCCCTTGTTTTAGCTCTAGGAATGGCACTGCCTGTCCCAGTCTGTCAATTGGTTGGTCCAGACTGAAATATCAACTATTGCCATGACATTTTGTACAGACACTCGTGATCCCTAGAAGATGTTCTCTAATGATTTTGTCTGATTTTCTGACTTTTCTGACTATTGGATGGATTGCTTTGAAATTGGTTTGAGAAAGAATTGTTCCCTTCCTTCTCATGTAATTTTATTTCTAATACAAACCTGCAAAACGACTTTTTCATCAGCCTCAGCTTACTATGCTTGTTAGCATGCTGACATTAACCTGTCTCTCTCTCTGAGCCACACATAATGCATGAGAGCCCGAATGAAATTCAAACCGAAATCTGTTTTGTTGCCAAAATATTTCACTTCTCAGTTTTGTCAGGAATGAGGAGTTGGTAAGTCAGTCATGTTTAAAGAGGCATTATGCTGTGACATTTGCTTGACATTAGCGTCTTTGCCCTGACATTAGGCATTCTCTTCAACCAGGGAAATGACATAAAATTGCACATTAAAAACTGGTGGTCCACTCGGTAAGGATAGCTATGATTATTTTGTTGTATTTTCTTCTTGAGTTGTAGAATTTCAAGGATTTCCCTACTTAGTTAGTTATGACATGTTATGTGCATTTATTCTGGAAAGTTTTGGTTATTTTTCTTTTTCATGTGAATTCAAGTTGTGAAACATTGATAAACAAAGGTCACTTACACATTTTCTGAATATTTTAGTTGGCTTGTAGACAAAAGCTCAAGGTAAACAGAAATTTACCTTTAGCAATGATCATGTTGGACAACTCACATATGTTTATCTGCAATGTGTGTGTGTGTGTGTGTGGATGTACGCAAATGCCAGTGCATAACTAAACAATGCCAAATGTCATTCAGTAGCTGAATACAGATCCCTTCAGTTCATTAATCAAAGACATGATTACTCACATCCCTTCAGGCTATTATACGCCATCTACGCACTCACAGTACTGTTCATATTGCTTCAGTGCTGAATAAGTAAATAAGTGCAGGTGGTGTGGGTTTCTATTTTTAGTGCCCCCCTCCCCAACTCCTCTCTACTTAATTTGCTGCTGTGTTTTAGGAAATGAGCCCGTGGTGTGTGAACAATGTAATGACCCTCTCTACTGTGAGCTGCATTTATGAGTCACACCCCCTCAGGCAGCTATTCGCTCTCTAATATGCACACACACACACACACACACACACACACACACATGCCCAAACACTCATGCACACCAAAATCACCCTCAAACAAACCTCCATCTGATGTGGATGGTGCTAAATTAAAACCCACAACCTCACAAGGTTGCACACCAGCTGTGGACGATGGCTCTTGCATCTCCGGTTCTCCATTTTTCTTATGCCCACAGATAACTGACCGTATTCTACAATGACGTGTGTATATTTCCAGTGCTGCTGTAGGTAAACTTGAATGTGTCAACTTTATAAAACAACAGCAACCATCAAACTTTGGTGTCAGCATCTCAGAGTCGAACAGCTGCCCCTTAGTGCATTTCAGCCACAAGACATGTCTCTCCAGGTCTGTCCCGCAGGTGTAGATGTGCAGCAGTGTTCACAGGCTGGTTATCTTGCCTGCTCAGTTATATGTTCATTTCCCTGCTTTGACTGGAAGCGACTAGTTTGCACCTTGCCTCTGGTAGGGTTTTAAAGGCATTTTGGGAAATTACAATCTGAAATCAGTGAGTCGGGTTTCCTTTAAGTTTCTCGTGTAAGATCACAGGCAATCCACAGATTTACAGAACTTGCTGTGCTTTCCTCCACCTTGCTTCATATTGAAAATGAGGAAAATTTCACTGCCTCAATCACTCTTCTGTACTTGACTCTAGCTTCCTGTGCGCAGTGATGAAAAATTTGCCCCAATGAACCATCATTAAGGGGATGTAAAAATCTATTTAGGAGGTTAAATATTAGCTGTGGCCAACAGTGGCTATATTTATATGCAGTGTTAAATAATTCAGAATAACAAAACATTTTACAAAGCACATATTTTACGTGACAAACGTATATTCCTCTTCATACAAATCCTGCATATAGTCCAACAAACACTTTTTAATATGTGGAGAATTTTGATCAGATTAGTAATAATAATTCTAACTATCTTTTCTCTTTGTACCAGTCATGCTGAGTGAGTGTATTTATGTATTTTGGCTGAATATTTCCAGCCACATTAACTCAGAGATCCAAGGATTTTTTTATTTTATTCTGTCACTGCTACTATAATATCGTCTCAACAATCTCATTCATTTTTTTTTCATGTTCTCAAAATGGCTACATAGTTAATTTCCTACATCTTGGTTGCTTGACTCTTTCTCGCCTTGGCTCTCTGTCTCCAGGAGCGTTTGCTGTTGTCCTTACTGCCGGCTCACATAGCCAGGGTGATGAAAGCCGAGATCATCCAGAGGCTGCAGGGACCCAACTTCGGCCGAACCGAGAGCACCAACAACTTCCACAACCTCTATGTGCAGCGGCACACCAATGTCAGGTAAGGATCCCTCTTCTTTATCTGCGCCACCAAATAATAAAGGTTATTATTTGCTGCTCTCGTCTCCGTGCTTGATTGCTCCTATACCATCCTGTCCTCCCCCTTGTCACTGCTCAGCCCTCATCCTCTTTTGTCCTCCCCCCTCGACCTGCTCTCACATTTGGATTGCTCCTATACTCTGTGCTCCACTCATCTTCTATCATCTCCCTTTATTTCTTCTTCTCCTCTCCTTTTCTCTATCTTCTCTACATCCCATCTTCTTATTCCTTTTCATTGCTATGGCCAAATTCAATTCAGAGTTAATCCACCTCCATTGTGCTCCGAGGTCACTTTGCCAAATGAAGAGGAGTCCATGTCCTCTGTTCTCAATGATACTCTCCTCTATGTTGGTGAGGTTCAAAGACACAGGCTAAACATAAGAGGCTCTCCATAGATTGCCCTCTAAAAACCTGTTTCCCTTCACATGAAAAACAGTAGCACTGTGTCCCTTTTAAGCGGCGTGTGTGTGTGTGTGTCTCCATATGTGTGTGTCTGTGTCCTCATGTTGATCTGCATATTATCCTTTCAATAATAACAAATTCTCACATGCTCTAGTGCACAGTGAAGAGGGCAATCTCTCCAGAACAAAGAACTGACACCCAAGGACAGGTGGCATTGTGATTCTGCTGGGATCCTCCTACACTAGACAGTTAGTGGTGAGCCAAACACCAGCCACTGCCTCCACTGTCCAGCTGTAATAATTGGTTGTTGGTGTTGAGGAACAGGTTAAATTGTGTCTTTTTATGCTTATTGAAATATCATTCCTTCTCTTTAGGATATAGTCAGTAGAGGTTTTACAGACTTGTCGCATTTCTGAGGAGCAGACAGTGTTTATAAAGTAATGTATAAGTCTGTTGCAAAAACTCTTTTTTTCACATGAAGCAAATAAACTGCCTTTTTATCAGTGGCGGACTCAGGCTGTCTGA